TCTCTGGAATCGACGAGAGGCGTCAGCAGTTTGTGTTGCCCTCAAATGACATTTGTTTGCACATCTTTAACTCCAAACTCTTCATTGATTTTCAAAAAACCAAAAAAAAATAATAATAATAAGAAGAAAAACACAAAATCTTGAATGAAGCTTTCGATCGGTCCGGCCCTACCTACCTTTTTAACGTAAAACTCGTTTCTCCAGTGACCTGTGCAATTAATTTTGATCTGTTCCCTATCTGAAATTATGCCATTTGTAGACATTTCAGGCACATCTCCTCATCTCCATCCAATTTCTTATGAATTTTCTTGCTCAGATATCACTTCTCAGCGCTTTTCGCACTCATTCATAAAATTTCCGAATATTCTGATGAAAATGAAGGGGGAAAAAAAACTTGTCTGTTGTTATGTGATATAGCCGTTGTGTTCGTTTTTATATTTGAAAATCTAATGTGCTGAGACGAGCGGTATTAAACGTCTTCCGAAGAATTGACAAATTTGATGCTGGCGGAGAAGTGCAGATAATTGCAGTTTAGCTTCGGCGCATTGCAATCAAAAGCAATGAGTCAGATACTCAGGTTGTGTAAACTGGAATGCAGGAAGTTGTTATTTTCTTAGATTTTTTATATAAACTTGTGAAATTCATGAGATTCTAAAGTGATCTCCAGGTGGCTTATCAAACATAGTGATGTGTATATTATGTGGTTTCGTTACCTAACTCTACTTTGACTGAATCTGTTTTGCAGACTGTTGTTTATATAATAATTCATGTGATTCTCATATGATTTACAATGATCCAGATATATAGTATACATATATTAAGAGAGAATCACGTAATTACTTGCGTAAACTCAAATATTTTCGCAAACATTCATTTTATGTAGAATCTAGTCGTAAAGTGATCTTCAGATGGGTTTTCAGTGATCCTGATATATCCTATGAGATAATTATTAATCCCTTAAGCGGTTTGTTACCGAACTGCGCTGTAACTTTCAGCAATAGTCTTGGGAATATAAAGTGATCTTCAGATGGTTTATCAAAGATAATGATGCTTATATTTTTATGTATTTGACTTAATTTCTTCTATTTTAACTCCCTCTTGACTGCTCTTAACCTAAGATCTCCAGTTTTATTAATTATTTATTATTTATCAATATTACTTGAAGCTGCATCTTAAAGTGGCATACAAAAGAGTATCATTAGCTTATCACGACTCTTCCATCTCATTATTGGTGGAAAGCTTTTAGTGATTACTATTTGAAAACGTACTGCTACGAATGAATTTCAATATACATTGACATTCCAAGTTTTCATGGTCTTGTCTACTTTTTTCACCGCATTTTCTGCTAACCTAGTTGGAATTAACTAGCAGCTAAATCTTAGAGTGTTCTTCAGATACATAGCTCATCAAATGTTATCTCTCTGTATAAAACTTGAAGCGATCTACAGGTAATTGATTTTGATTTCAATAATAGATTGAGCTTACCTGTAAGTTCTCGTTTATAGAAAGTAAAGAACTTCTACTTGAAACTGCATCTTAAATTGATCTTCAATAAATTATCTTCAATAAATTATCATAATATAATGTGAGATGCTGTAGAACTTAACTTCCCATTCACTTACGCAATGTTCAGGTAACGGTGTGGAAGCCGGATTTGTCATTTTATAATTGGTCTCAATCTTAAAATGATCTTCAGCTAGATTATAAACGATATTGATCTTGATTCAATGATATATTGGACTTGGTTTTAATATTTGGGAAAAGGAAAGGTACCAGAAGCTGAATTTTCAAATGGTATTCCCAATAGCCTTATTTCAATTTGCTGAAAAGTAAGTAACAATTAGATAACGCCATCAGCTGCTGCCTCAGATATTGAACTGCCTCTCTTTGTTCGTTATCAGCTGTAAATGGGCATTACTTTTGGAACTTTTCGTTTGTTTAATTTGGGGGGAAAAAGGCATTAAAAAAAGGTGTTTAATAAATATATAGTATGAACAAACATATAGTATATCATTAATGTTAAATGTCACAACTGATTACTATGTTGATTCCGATTTCTGATTTCTAATATTTCTGGCAATTTGCCAAACTCGTTCAATTTTGATTGATTGAGTTTACAGGTCATGTGCAACGGCAATGTCTCTATTTATAGCGCCTCCTGGGCCCCATGCCATGCAATATAAGACAGTTTTGTTTTCCATAATGCGAGCATGTATGTATGTACGTCTGTTTGTGTGTGTGTGTGTGTGTGAGTGTATCTTTATGGCTTTTAAATGCTTAGCGGCAACTGCTGCGTTCTCGTCGTTGTCGTTGTCGTCGACGCTGTCAACGTTTCTTTCTGTTTTCTCCACTGCTCTGCTACTCTGCTCCACTCTCTTCAGTTCTCCATATCCAATAACAGCATCTCAGCTCTTTTGCACTCATTTTGTTGCCCTGTTGTTGCTTTTGCTGTTATTATTTTAGTTGCCGTTGCCGTTTCTGTTGCTGTTCTGTTTTTGATGTACGTGACTTGCTCGGCACTTCCTGTTTGATTTTGTTGTTGCTTGGCAAAATGTTGCCAATTATTCAAAGTGTTGCGACGGCAACGCCAATGTCTGCGTCAGCGTCAACTGCGGCAGTGGCGGTGGCGGCAGCAGAGGCGGCGTCTGTTGCCGGCAGAGAAATAAAATAAACAATAATAAGTAAGCATGCATGTGTCTGTCTGTATGAATAATTTAGACGTGCGTGCAATTCAGAACAAAACGTTCGCCAATTTTCAGCTATCTAAATATACATATATGTATGTTTGTGTGTGTGCGTGTAAGTGGCTGTGCATAGAAAGTGTCAACATGCCAACTCACATCGCAGTCGTCGCAGTTAACGTCAACGTCGCTGCTGCCACGCCACGTTGGTCCAAACGCTATTGTTGGCGCAGCCACCAAAATCCATGCAAACTAAATAACCAAACAAGAGAGTATGTAACAGTACAGCAACAGCCGACAGTCCGACAATTGAATGCTCTGCAAATATAAAAACAACTGTTATATTGTTGTAGAAGAGTAAAATGGTTGAAATAACAAAAAATAATAATAATAAAATAAACTTGTTTTGCCTAAAGATCGATCAATCAATATACATATGTATGTACATACAAATATACTTTTCTATGCTTCATGCAGCAGTCTTCCCTTCTGTTTAGGTACCCTTCAGGTAAAGGGTATAATAAAAGCTCTCCGGCAGCTAGACAAGATTCGTCAGTCAATTTGATGATGGCTGGGCAAATAAAGGAGGTGGGGGGTAGGTTGAGACAGACAAACGGAGAGTAGTGATGGTAGTAGATAGTCACCAGTGTAAGAGAGAGGGAGAGGGAGAGAGCACGCAGAAGTGAGGTGTAGACGGCACCTGTGTGAGTCATCGATTTAATTTTAAACGAGATTCGAGACCTTACTCAATGAACGCATTGCACAAAAACACACACACACACACACATACAATTGCACACGCTGAGCAGCGATAATGAGCACGTGAGCGCCAGAGAGCATGCGAGCAGACATTTATGTCTCTGAATCTTGTCTGTTGTGACTGTTGTGCTGGCTGGCTGGCTATGTTGTGTGTTGCGTTGTGTTTTGTACATCGCCAAGGGTCGAGACTTCAGACTTCATGAAAAACGTTCACTCAACAAACACAATCAAATGCACATAAATATACATACATATAGAAAATATGTATGTATATATGTGTACCTCCCAATGAATCACACATGATTCCATTTAAAATGTAATTAATATGCAAACTGTTAAATATTAATTAACAGCTGCTGCGCCACTGCAAAATGTTAACAGAAAAAGCTCTAGCAACCGCATATACCGGTAGTATTGATGACGTTTCCAATGTTTGGGAAATTCCGACATGGCTCTCTACCTAGAACAGACAATGCACAATGGTTTTTCCAAAATATTAACGTTTTGTTGAAATGAAACAATGTTGTAAAGATTAAAAATTGATTTAATCACTTGAAGTTTAATTTAAAGCAAAAAACTGTTTTCGCAAAATGAAAATTCTGTTATTCTGGTTTGCTGAATAATTTAACATTGATAACAACATTAACACTAACAGTACATGCGTTATATGTTAACGACATACAGCTGCGGTTGATCCTGTATCTAGGGATGAGCGCGTGATGATCGAATTATTATTATTATTTTTTTTTTTTTACAAATTTTGTTCTTCTTGAATAATATAACTGTTAGAGTAGAAGTTCATACCCTTGACCCAATAAAACATCTGAAGAACAATATTCCCACCACTTATTTATTGAATCTGAAGCAGCAATTATGTTTAAAACATTTAATTCATAACATAACACATGATTCGCGTTCATCAGTATTTGAAGCTGCTATTTTTTGCTCATCGTTTTTAACACTGTGTTTTTTTTTTTTTTTTTAGCGATTTTAGTAATCTTGGCATTGGGAGGTGTTTGGGACGTGTTGCCATCTCTGTTAATAACTGTAGACAGAAAAATTAAAAACTTGTGTGATCTTTTCACTGAAGGTGTTGAAAGTTAAAAAGTAATATCAAAGACTACTAGTTCAATTCGAATGCCTTTGTAATTTCAAAATTCGCCCAAACATAGATATTTACAGGTAGGCTTCAAAGATAAAAGCATTAGGGCCTACGTCTTTGCTGGGTTAATTTTTTTTTGCAATCATTTATTGGTATCCAGGTTTACAGGTATATGATTATATACTGGTATATTGGTATATAGAGTATTTTTAGAATTGAACCAGCTCGATTCTAACATACCTTTCTTGTTTATATACATATGTGTATAGAGATTATTCAACAATCGAAGACACCCTGTATAAGAATACACCTTTGGAGGATGTTGTTTGAAAATGAGCATAGAATCTTTTTAGTAAACTTCAGTTATTTATTTAAAAATTTGTAAAAATTTATATACAGCGATATTAATATTTGTAGTGAATCTTTAAAATCTCTAAGTCATTTTAAATAACACTAAGGAAAACAAAAAAAATTAAAATTAGAAAAAAATAGATAAGAGTCTTGTAAGCCTTAGGCGGGACCATGGAAGTGGAGCAGTTGGATAAGAAAGCGGAGATCCTCGATAAACATATCGCGAACTTCTGCTCTCAAATTAATTTCGGGCCAGTGCCGAGGGTGCGCAAAGCAGCTGATGTTTCGAAATGGCAAATCTCGAAGGCCTATTACGAACTGGTGGCGTACATTAATAATACCGCCTCCCTCATACAGGGGATGAGTGTGATGGATGATTATGCGGTCACCCCAGAGATGTGCAATATTATGGAGATATTCGATCGACTCGATTGCCTCATTGAGGCGAATCCACCGTTATTACACGAACCAGATTCCGACATCGATCACATTGATTTCCCATCGATACAATGTTACGGGAATCATGCCTATCGGGCCTGGTCGCGAAACATGTTGCGTGAAATCTTTCCCTTGATTGAACATGCGATACCCCGAAACAAATGCCATTATGTGAACGAGTTGGGCCATTATCTATCCGAATCGTTTGGAAATTCGACGCGCATCGATTATGGAACGGGCCATGAACTGTCCTTTGCCTTCTTTTTGGTTTCGCTCTTTCGTGCCAACATCCTGAAGCGCAAGGATCTGAAAGCATCGGTTCTGTTGCTCTTCCATCGTTATCTGGGCTTTGTGCGACGTCTGCAGCGACTCTACAATATGGAAACGGCGGGAAGTTCTGGTCCCTACTCGCTAGATGATTTTCAATTTTTGCCCTATTTATGGGGGGCGGCCCAGTTGTGTGTTGGCGAGTCCTTTGCGCCTCGCCAAATGCTCGATACGGACATATTGGAGGAATATAAACACGATAATCTGCTCGTGAGCTGTGTGGCATATACGGGTGATCGGAAAAAGGGCACCTACGCCGCCCACTCGACTCAACTTTGGTGTATACCCGCGTTGGATTCTTGGGACGAAGTGTATTATGGTCTTTATGATATGTATAAGAGGACGGTACTACATCAGTTTACCGTTATGCAACACGCAAACTTTGGCAAATTAATGGTATTCGATCGGGTGAGAATAGGCACTGATTTGGTACCACCGCGACTTGGCAAGTTATTGGAATTTAACGAAGATGAGCCGGTAGCTGAGAAAACAGTGGACGATGATTTTCATTACTCGAGAACGCCATCACTATCTGAAGATGAATCCGATGTGTCTGAGGAGACTGAAGAGAGTGAGAAAACTAAAGCATCTGAGAAGACTGAAGAGGTGGCTGCTGACAAGAGTGAGGACACGGAAGAGACAAACACTGAGAAGACGACTAAAGCTGAGAAAACTGGCAAGTCGAAGATATTCGAAAAGCCTAAGAAACGCAAGAAGCATAGAAAGCTTAGGTCACCTGAGGAAGACGACAAAGATCCGCGAGCGCCACCACGAAAAGGCGCCAACTCCGATCCCATGCAAATGCCCACCATAAGCACACACAGGAAAAGAAATAGAAAGCCAGGTGTTATACCAATGTCCCCAATTACCTTAGCCCCCGATAACGTATACTGCTCTCCATCGTTCGAGATGGAACACAGCGTTATCACGACCGGCACCACCAGCAGTGATATCTCTGGTACCAGTGTCCAGTTCCGTTCGATGACTAAATCCCACGGCAGACCAACAGTGTACCATGCACATCGTCCACATTTTAATTTGCCGCAGACGGTGGCGCGTCGCACCGAAGTGAGTGTCTCCCCAACGCACGATGGAAACACTCGTTCTGTAGAGCTCCGATTTAAGTCCATGCTGCTCGTCCAGGAAAGAGAGGAGAGCAGCGATTCCTGATCGTTAGACAGTGGATCAGGCGGTTGCGGCGGCGGCGGTGGCGGCGGTGGCTATCATGGAGTATACAAAACTACTGCTCATATATTTTGTAAAGAACTTGCCACAATACAGCGGGGGGATCAAAATATGTGCAAATTGAAGAACTGTTCTCTCTTATCTGTTGTTGAGAACGGGGATCGAGATACTCGGTAGAATTTGACTTTTGCAAATCAAAAGTGTACAAACGAAACATCGCACAACTGTAGGTATATGTTTTTACTGACCTGACCTGACCCGACCCGACCCGACCAGACCTGACCCAACTAGACCTAACCAGAGCTGGCCTTGTCATAGAGACTTTTGTTGTCAACTCGCAAGGGAGTTTGGTTTGTGTTCTACATAGAGTTTAACACACAGATGAGCACTTGCTGGGCAGATGAGTTCAACTGATTGTTTGATATGGAAATTAATCGTTTGTATTTTTTTTATTACTGAAACATTTTATGCAAAATACAAAAAGCTGATTGCTCTGCTCTCGAATGGTTTTCTGTTTTTTAAGCAGAAGCGCTGGAGTTGCGTGTTCGGATGATTATTGTTCTTGAAACTAGAAAATATTCATAAATAAAGATGTTAGTTATAATATCTTAATAAACAATGTGGTTTTTGGTGCAATGGGTGATTTTTTCACCAATTGTTCCCATGGCAGCTATATTTGATGGAAATTGAGAATATCACGAGGCACTTAACAACACTCATTTATTCCAGATTTGGCTACGATATTAAAATAAACAAAGAAGTTTTTAGTATGTACTACGAGTCAGTTTTCCACCCACTATTCCTATCACAGCTATTTGAAATAATGAGATAATATCCAGTATTTGAAATAAACTTAATCTGCATATTAATAAGACAATTCTTTGTAGAAATTTCTGTGTTCCAAGCACTTTTGGTTTAAAAGCTATGGACGTTCATACAGTCGAACAGTTGTCACGTCATTCGTAACATTTATGCACCTGATGGTGCCTGTGACATACGAGTACATTTGGCGCTGAGGCTTTCTAGTGTATCCTCTCAACCTTCGGGTGATAGATAAATAACATGAATCCACTTAAGAGCGAATGTATTGAACGAATACTTGTTTCCTGTATTTGGCTCGTCGCTCCATGCAATTATAAATATGTCAGCCTGTTACCATTTCCATTGTCAACTAACTGCCCACCCCCTCACCCATCGCCCCACATCCTCCCCTCGTCAAAGCAAATAAAGTTAGCCAAAATTGGTCGACTAATGCCCGTTTGTTGGCCACTGGTGGCGGCCCCAGCTAGTCCCAGCTGTCCACCACCAGATGGAAACCAGTTCCAGCAGCACAGCAGCAACAGCAGTTCCAACAGTTCCAATCCAGCCACAGGGCAGCGCCGACTAAATACAGTGTTAACCGGTTTAGAAACACACTAAAAAAAACATCAACAACAACAACAACAACAACCACAACCACAAAAAGGAAAGAAGCTGAGCCCAGTTCAAGATCTGTTTTATAAACTACACACGCACGCATACATACAAAACGTGTGCACGTACACACCGCCTATCAACTCAATAGATTCAGTTCGAATATAAACATTTCACATGTGACGACAGAACGTTTTGGAGTCAAAACATTTGAAAACACTTCCGCACATTTTAAGCCGCAACAGAGATTTGGAAATGTAACCGTAGTTCGAGATCAAAAACTTTTTAACTATTCTAAAAATTGTTACCTTTACGTGCGCTAATCAAGTTTATTACAAGACATATAAAATCGTATTATTTTATGTATGTGTATAGCTGCCATAGAAACGATCATTTGCTAATGGATACTCAGATATTCGAGTATATAGGGGACTCTTTTAAAATCCCCAATTATGAGTTGGAGGTTATCCTCAGTGGAATTTTTCCCGGGGAGATCGTTCTATTTTTTTGGGTGTGAAGAAGTCGGTCTTGGTATTTATATTTCAACCATTTGTTTATATAGTCGCTATATAGTTGATCGGCAGTGTACTATATGTGTGTTTTAGTTTTTTCCGCTGCCAGCAAAACCAATTAAGCACTCTCACAGAAATACTCCTCGTAAGTATGGATGTTGTTATTGCTTTTCTGCCTTTTTGTAGTTGTAGTTGTTGTTGTTGTTGGTAAATCTACAGGCTACAGGCGGCCTAAAGAAAAGTGAATGCATAAGGCGATGACGACGACTCTGACTCTGACTGTGACTGCCTGAATCTGGACTTGGAGTAAGCTCTTCAAATCGGGCTCATTCATAACTGGCAGAAGTCGGGGAAGCGCAACGAATGAAACGAATACGGCGACAGGCATGGCATCGCAGTTTCGATGGCCCCCTTCACAATATTCAACATTTGCCACACTAGTGTGTGTATGTGTGTGTGTGTGTGAATTTATGTGTGACCAAACATACAAATTGCATCGCAAATGTGGTCTTTTTTTGTGGTTCCTCCTTCGTAGCTCACAGGGACGCGGTCTCAACTGTTGAATGTCAAACTTTGCTAAATTATATGACTTTTCCTTCAGCTTTTTCCTATATGCAGACTATGAGAGACTATGAGGTCTGTGGTCAGTTTGTAGACATCTGTACAGCTCTGGTCGTTTGAACTATTTAGCCATTATACAAGTAAACAATGTTGTAGTTAGTTGATTGCTTTTTTCAAACTAAATTCATCACATATATGGCTTTATTGTAGAAGATGATATTGAGGAGAGAGACTATAAAACAGATTTACACAAATTCTACGATTTCTGTGAGTTAATAGAGAACCCTGAAACATCTGAATATAATGATAAACATTTCTTTAAACAGTTGGGGACTTAGAACATAAATATTGCTGTTGATTTAATTTCTCTGAGTTAACACACATTTGCAGATAGTCTTCAACACATCTGGATCATCTGATTTAATGTGATAAGCTTAATTGGTTAAAGAACTAAACAAATATAGGTATAAATTAAAAAACTTCCATTAATAATTTTTTCTAAGAGGCACCCGAAGTATTTTAAAAATGAATAACCTGTTCAGCAATGTTAGATATTCAGACTATATATATTTTCAAGCAGATACGATTCGTAGTTGAAGATGAAAAGACAACATAGGCCCCATTAATGTTTGACTGTTTGAACGGCCTAATCTCTAATAATATTGCAAAATGCAGATACAAAATGATGATACGTGTTATTCCTCAAAGAAGTTTGTATGTGTAGTACATTCCAGATTCCAACTGAACGTAAAATGGGAGCATATTTTAGGATAACACACCAATAAATAAATACCGCATTAGAACGAGGATTAAATCATGAACTTCAAATTGTTTGAGTAACCCAACAAATAGACATACATATAATATTTTTTAACTTTCCCAACATAATTTGCAGTGCTAGATAATTTCAAAAAAATGTATTAATTGGTAGCAGAGTCCAGGTGCGATGCAATCGTTAGCTCCCTGTGTGTTTTGGGGCACCTCTTCAAGAAGGGCGGACCAAGTGGCATGCAATATAGCGATCATCAGTTAATGTTGATGGGGATGTTGCATGTGGCCGGCAATCAAAGAGTTGGCACCTTTTTCAATTTCAAAATTACCACAGCCTGTGAGAAGAACAAACTCTACAATGTGCACAATTATACATATGCACATATGTACAAGTATATACCGATATGTGCTACTTAAATGTACATACCTATAATCATATATATTTGCATATATAGTATGCTGTTTACGCGCATTTGATGGATGGTTGGTTGGATGGATGGATGGATGGATGGATTATGAACTATAACCACTGCTTCTATGACACATCCATACACACACACATACGCATACACACAAGTTAGGGGTTGGAATATGGAATGAAAAATCTGCCAAATGTTTAAGGAAAAGTAAGCGACATGTGGATGGATGAATAGGAGGAACTTAACACGCACGCCAGCTGATTTTTAAAGGGCCAGCCAGTGACATTTTTTCGAGGGTATCCTTTAAGCCCCCGCGCCTGCATCCTCTCTCTCTCCCTCTCTCTCCCTCTCTCTATATATATATATATATATACACACTACATGCATGTGTACATATTTCAACACACACACACACACAATGAAATTGTTGTACTACATACATATATATGCGTATATAGTATGTATGACTTCATGCGACCCGCGTTTTTCATATAGTCGCCAAAGTATGGTATGCTCAACGAAATATTTACGATATTTTGATAACTCGCGTACACCATGGAATGCCACTTTTATATGCCAAGCATGTGTGTGCGTGTGTGTGTGTGTAGCGTAGGTTAGGGTGAAGCAAAGTAGAAAGGAAATAAGGACAACAGCAGGGGGTGACGACAGGCTCTATGATTTTGAAGAGTGGGTTGCCTGTCTGCCAGGGAATAAAATGGCAATAGAATGGGAGTTGTTGGGAAGGAAATGGGAATGCAACACACCTTAAGTTTGTAGGACCCTTTATGGAGATGATTGTTTTAAGCAATATGGATTATAGATTATACCGCTTTCAAATGTAGCTTAGTTAAGTTTAGAAATCGTGGGACTCCCTTTTTTTTTTTAAAGGTACTTCTTATTCCGTTTAACGATTTTTCAGAATTGAATAACCTTTGTGTGCTTTTTTAATTAAATTTGTTCCACACAATAATGCTCCATTACCATCTGATGTTCAGAATATACTTCTTTCGTACTGATATTATGTATATGTTTAAGGATTCTTCAGTCGAATTATCTTTTGGAGTTTGAATATCCCACAAAAAAATGTTTCATTTCAATTTTGATATGTGATGTTTAGCATTCTTGAAGTCGAATTTTGCTCTCTTTTGATATCTTAATTTTTACTTACAACAATGTATTCATAATATTTTAGTCGAATTTGCTGAGCTCTTTTTCTTACCATTCTATATACCTATTATTTTTCATACATATTATTATTTTCTGCGGATAAACTTCTTAATTTCAAGGAATATTTACAATTTATAATGAATCATAAATTCTGAACATTTTTGTATCTTACGGAATGAGAATGGAGCCTAATTTTGTTTACCCAAAAATAAATACATTTTGAAAGCATTCTTTAGATAAAAAAGTTTTGAAAGATTAAGTTTTAGA